TCTTCCGCTTCGCCGCCATGTGTCAACCTTCCGCCGCCGGTCCAGTCCCAGACCCAGACCCGCGCCGCCAGAGCCTCTGATTACTGTCTGTTCCAAAAGCTCTGACGAATCCGATGGCTTTATCTGTTTTTTTGAGGTTCGAAACACGGAACTGTGAAATGGGTTTGTCGGTTTCCAGGTCGGAAGATGGTGAGGAGCGTCGTAGCGAGGGCCACCAGTGAGGCTCCAGCCGAAGTGTCGACGACGGACCTGCCGGGTATCGTCAAGACCGTCCAAGATGCTGTAAAAAACCCAGACTTTTTCCACAATAGTCAGGTTCATTGAGCTTTAGACTTCATTTCTTGGGTTTTTGCTCTGATTATTAGATATCGCCATTGAAGTGGAACAAAGTGGAGGACAAGTAGGCCGTCGGTTCTCTTGCATTTGCCGGAGCAGTGGCCCTTTGGGGATCCGCCGGCATGATCTCGGTGAGCTTCGTCTGAAACTTATTTTCACCAATTTGTTTATGTCTGAGTATTAGTGAATTTAACTCAAAGTTCAAAGTATTAATCGGTTATTGGTTTAGTTGGTTATCTGAGTAATAATTGATTCGGTTGTCTCTGCTAATGGTTTAGCAGACAACTCTGTGATCCTACATACCATGTATGTACATGTTTTGCCTTTTCATAGAGTAGGATATAGGTTTGTTACGGGTTTTTGATTCTGTTCTTCATTCTTGGAATTGTATATATACATGTAAGAGATTAAGGGGAAATACACACAAGAGAAATTTTCTATTTGCTGCTTCATACTCTGAAATACCAAAACAAAGTGATGACGTTGTAACAGGCAATCGACAGGCTCCCATTGGTGCCTGGAGTTCTTGAAATAGTAGGATTTGGTTACACTGGAGTGAGTTCTGTTTTTTCAAGTCTTGATATATCTCAATCTCGATCTCTGGCACACATTCACAATCTCATACGTTTCCAGCAACTTTCTCTTTTGAGTTTGGGGATGCTTGGATGACTTTTCAGCGCCATTTCTCTTGACTTTAGTTCTAAACTAGAACCATGCATCATCCCGCGACAAAAATATTACTTCCATGTCATCATCAACCTTTACATCTCTGCATATTTCCTCCAGACGAGTGCACTATTTTCTTTGGTCGGACGTGGAATTGTCATTCCACTCAAATCTATTTTACTCCATAAATCACCCAAGAACAACACGAATCTCTTTCCTTTCCACTAAGGGCATTGTATATGTTGGATGTCGTCTCCCTTGAGTACAATGGAAAGGGTTTGGAAGAGAAGATGAAATTGGAATTTTGGCCTTTACGGTATCATGTATGGGGGTATGGGGAAGTAGGTAAGACTGGCCTCTTTAAACATATCAATAGCAAGTTCTCCCAAGTAGATAAGAATTCGACATTGTAATTTGGGGGATGTGTCGGGATTCACTGATCGAGAGTATTCAAGAGCAAATGAGGGCAAATTACAGCAGATGGAAAGGAAGAACTCAAAGCGAGAAGGCATCCGATACATACATTGCCATAAGTGGTAATGAAAGAGATTCGTGTTGTTCTTGACTGATTTATGGTGTAAAGTAGATTTGAGTGAGATGACAACTAGAGAAAATAGATTATAATCGTCTAGAGGAAATATGCAATGATATGAAGATTGATGATACGATGGAAGTAATATTTTTGTCACATGACGATGCATGGGTCTTGTTTCGAACTAAAGTCGGAGAAATGGCGTTGAAAAGTCACCCAGACATTCCCAAACGCGAAGGAAAAGTTGATGGAAAATGTTGCGAGTTTCCAGCAACTCTTGTGTTTATAGGTAATTCTCATTTCTGGACTGAATTGCATATGGATCTGTTGTTGTATGTGATGGAATGACATGTTATTTCTTCCTTTGCAGTGGTTCATTTACAAGAACCTGGTCGTCAGACCAGACAGGCGAGTCTCGGACCAAACCTCGTATTATATGTTTCAAGTCCTGTTTGTAATTTGTATTGGATTTCAGGGAAGCTTTCTTGCAGAAGATAAAGGATGCGTACAAAGACATCACAGGGAGCTGCTGAATCAGTGAAGAACCTTGGTAGTTGATGAATGAATGAACATTCTCTTCCTCTTCTATAACCATGTGTCTTTCTTCAGATTAATTCCCAGTTCCTCTTTTTTTTTCGCATTAGAAATTTTTCAAAGGCCCAATTGGATCATACAGAACTTGAAAACACCTTTTCATTACAAAGCCCATTAAAGGCCCAGTTAAGAATGTCTGGTTCTGAATGTTAAGGATTCATCGCTGATTCTTCCATCGAAAGCCACGTGGCAGTCACGGCCACGCTGGCATATCCGGCTCAGAAGATGACGACACACGTAACCAAACCAAGGCGCCACGCAAAAAAGTGGGTCCCATTGTAAGTTTTACGTTTTTATCCCTCTTGGTAATCACAATTTGTGGCTGAGATTGCAAGATCAAGGCTAGCAAGGATGGAGAAAAGTGGAAACTGAAAAATGCGCATAGCCAACGAGACAATCTTGAACCAATCGAAATGCGCCATTTGGCGTCATCGTGTTTCCTGCTTCTTTTGTGACCTCAAATTAAATCTCATTTTTTTTTTATTTCCCAGGAAATGAGAACAAGAAATTTTAATTGGAGGAGGAATTTTAGTGGCTGAGGATTCTCCGCCTCCGTTGCTTCTGGTGTCTCTCCTTTCCCACGACGAGAAACACTCTCCTGCTTCATCTTCTTGTTCGTCCTTAGCTTCTTTGATTTCCTGAGTTTTGTTTAGAAAGGGCAGATTCCGAGATTCACAGTCACCGGACAAGCATGGGATCTCCAGCGAGTCCCCGGTGAGCTCGCTTCCATGTCTGAACGTGGATCGATCTTTCAACTGTTTGCGACTTCCATGGCAGTTCTACAAGGTACCCATTTCCGCGTTTCTACTTTCTAGGGTTTGTGTTTACCTTACACTGACTGTTTGGTTGCCGGGAAAATCAAGGAAGTGGGATTAGCGAAAAAAAAAACAAAAGAAAGAATGGTTGGATTCGATTTTCTGCTGTCGACTGTAGTCTGCTACTTCAGCTCAGCTCGAAACCTGAAATTGTTTTGAATCCGCAACCAAACAGTCTGTCTCTTTAATGGTAGAATCTGATAGATTTCTTGAAAATATTTTTCTAATTTTCTTTGTAGTACTAAAGTCTTGCAGTTATTGATCATACAGTGGTTGTAAATTTCAATTGGCATGTGTTATGATTCCTCACAGGTTGTACCAGCATGATCATGTATTTGCTGATATAGAGCAGAGAAGGTCCACCCATTTCCCGATTTTCTCTTTATGCAGCTGCATGATCATATTCAACAAGTAACTTCAAGGGTAATGCCGAGAGCAAACCGCTTTGGTGTTGAGAGTATTTGATGTTTGGTAGCAGATATGAAATGTGGTCTTTGAAGTTGTGGTAGCTGCTCAATGGAGACAAATTCTTCTGGAGAGGAGTTGGTGATTAAGGTACACTTTATGATTGGACAAATCTTTGTCTTGTTCTGCTGCTTTCTTGGTTCTGTTCGAATTGTTTGTGGGATTGAGGTGAAAAAAGGTGGTTTTTTTTTGTGAATTTGTATTGAAACGGTAGATGAGAAAGCCATATACAATAACAAAGCAACGTGAGCGGTGGACTGAAGAGGAACATGATAGATTCCTTGAAGCCTTGAAGCTGTACGGGAGAGCATGGCAGAAGATAGAAGGTATACAACTTCTTCCTCTGTCTTGTTTCGGGATTTCGTTTTTTGTTATGCGAGTTTATGAAACATGAGTTCACGTGTCCTTTTTGGACAGATCATGTCGGAACAAAGACTGCTGTGCAGATAAGAAGTCACGCTCAGAAGTTTTTCTCTAAGGTAACTTGACTCCTTGGATTAGTGAACTGTTTCAGCTTGGCAAAATGCTGTATGAATGAAAATTGCTGCTATATAGGATGAGGCAGTTGCATTAATTTTCTAAACTCGATACTTAAACCAGATCATTATCTAAAATTTTCAGTATTCAGCCTCTATTTACCGTCGAGCCACTGCTTTATTGGCGATGAGACGTGCATTTTTTTATTGAAATATCCATTCCTTTTGGAAAGGAGGTAGAGAGCATATGTAGTAGGTAGGGAGCCACTGCTTTATTCCTGAGCAAGAATTCAAAGCTGAAGTATATCTTATGCTCTTTGAAATCGTCTACCTGCAGGTGGAGAAAGAGGCAAAGGCTAAAGGCGTTCCGGTAGGCATAGCCCTGAACATAGATATTCCTCCTCCACGGCCCAAAAAGAAACCGAGCAATCCTTATCCTAGAAAGACAGGAAATAGAACTCCCACTTCCCAAGCTGCTGCACAGGTTGGAAAGCAAGCAACTTCAGCTTCTACTGTTTTGAACTGTAAAGAGGCCCTTTTATTACAGAAAGGGTCACTCTCTGAGGTGGTTCTCATAGTCGTGAGTTATTGATGTTATGGAATGAATCCTGTGGAAACCTCGTTAAAAGAATCTGCCATTTTGTCTCCTCGCGCGACTGATATATATTGCTCGTCAATTTTTTTTTGAAGTATCCTAGTGAAGAATTGCTGCCATCTAACCTGGAAGATGATCACTCTGCATCCTCCATGAATAAAAGCTCTGTGGAGACCATGGCATTTGCAAATGGATGCAGCTTTACGGAATTTTTACCTCCGCGAAAAGAGGTATAATCAAGCTTGTATTGTTCTCGAGGCTTTAAGCAATCTACATTTCATGAAACTAAATGTGGGAGGCACAGGCAAATCAGGATAACGGGACGAGAAAGGCTTCAAACTCGGAGAAAGACTGTTGTGATTTGCATGCAAAATCTGTACAAGGATCGGCGAAAAAATATGTCAGTGGCATATCCCATGTGGATGAGGAGCAAGGACCTCAGACATATACAAGACATGTCCCTGTTCACACAATAGATGGAAGCTCAGTAGCATCTCCTATATCACCTTTTCCCACAGTTTCGGAAGGAATTCATGTCTGCTTGAACAAGTTCACCGATATGTCTGCATGTGCTAATAGATCTAAACACGATAATGATGGCCCGAGATATAAATCTCGTGCGTTGCCAGCTGTTCATCTGGCCTCTGCTCCAATACCCCACACCCTGGACGATTACTGGTCATTTGCTAACCTTTTTGTGTCAAACCCTTTACAGAACCCAGCTGCCCATGCTGCATCAACTTTTGCAGCGTCGGTTTGGCCGGGTGGCACATCGACATGTGCTGAGATAGGGGTTCCACCCAGTCAAGTGAGCTCACCTTCGAGTCTGGCAGCTATAGCTGCTGCTACCGTTTCGGCTGCAACTGCTTGGTGGGCTGCTCATGGGTTGCTGCCTTTATGTGCTCCTATTCATTCTGCCTTCCCCTGCCATCCTCCTCCAACTACTTTAGCTCCTATATCTGATGATAATGGCCATGCTCCATATGCAAATGTAGACACAAAGGAAAGTACCCTACAAAACCCTTCTGTGCAGAGTCAAGATGCGGATCCAGAACACTCTGAAGCATCAAAGGCTCAATCTTCACCCTTGAAAACAACGTTGTCACCATCATACTCGGAGCAGAGTGGAAGCACGAAGACTGAAACTGGAGGTAAGCCAGCTTCTCATGAGCAGACTGAAGCTGAGACTGATCAAAACAGAGCTAAAAACAGAAAACAAGTAGACCGCTCCTCCTGTGGCTCGAACACGCCCTCTAGTAGTGATGCTGAGGTAGATGCATCTGAGAAGCTTGAGAAAGACAAGGATGAGGAGAAAGAAGTTGAAGTAGATGTGAACCCACCAGCAGAAGAGTCTAACATCCGTCGAAGTAGAAGCAGTAGCAACTTAAGTGACCCATGGAAATCGGTATCTGATGAGGTACTTGGACAGGTGTTGCTCCTTTTGCAATTCCCTATTTGCTTGAATCGGCACCGGAATTGGCAAGTTATACTCTATTTCACACCTTACTCCAATTTCAGGGACGACTGGCCTTTCAAGCTCTCTTCTCAAGGGAGGTATTGCCACAAAGCTTTCCACCCCGACGTGACTCCAAGGACAAGAAGGATCTTAGAGGAAACGAAGACGGGGAGAAGAAGAAAAGTGCTGAAACAGAGCATGGAGAAGGACAGGAACTTGACCTCAACAGAACTGCTCAAGCCACTGACTCTGACCATCAGGAGGAGAAAGGAGACCAGGATGGATATCTTGCAATTGGATTGGGGGCCTCAAAGCTCAAGGAAAGAACCGGTTTCAAGCCTTACAAAAGATGTTCAGTAGATGCTAAAGAGAACAGGATCACCAACTCGTCCACTCTCAACCGGGTTGAACAGAAAGATCCCAAACGAATTTGCCTGGAAAGACGAGCTTAAACTTAAAGACATTGTCGTGTCCGATCCATTTGTGTTATCCACACTTCGATACTCTTGTAGTAAAGTTTACAATACAACCTGACTGAGCGTCCATAAACTATTAGCGCCATATTTAAGCTCTCTGAATTCCTCTGACCCTGAAATTTTATGGCAAATACCTTGGCAGAGACATCATGCATGAATGTACGTATGTACTATATACATATTCTGATAAAGAAAACGTTGGCCAAAGGTGGGTTACCAACCAGTTTCGCCTGTGGTATGATATTGTTTCATATTGAACCTATACAAGAAGAGTAAGTACCGAGTCCCAGTGCTATCAATATAAGAGTTACTGTTATAAGTATCATCTTGAAGAGAGATCCAAAGCCTGGAAATTTACTGTGCAGTGGAGGTCAATCTGCTACAAGTGAGACCTACCGCACGAATGTTTTCACAAGCTTCGCTCTGCTCATTGACACTCTTTACAATCAGAATGCCTTTTTGATTCTGTTCGTGGAGTTGGATATGCCTCCTGCTCAACATCCAGCAATGGATGGTCTACCACATTTGGCATTCAAGAAAATTTGGAGCATTTTTGTCTTAAACAAAAGAAAGAAACGAAAATGATAAAGGGTCTGACTGCTCAAATCAAAAGCTTCAGGCAAAGAAAAATGGAGCGCAGGCCACAATCTTGGCTCCTGAAGAAACTTGTGATTAAAGAACTCCCTGAATGCCACGCGCTCAACTGCAGTCCGAACATCACATTTATGAGAAACATTGCTTCCATTAATCATCATACAAACAAGTAAAAGAATAGAGAATTCCATGTACAATGGAGAACCACAAAACGTTTTTGAGGTGACAGAGGCCTGGCATCAAAAGATTATTACAGGAGATTACTGGACATGGAAGTTAACTTATCAAAGTTGACCGAGGCTCTAGTAACGCCGTATTAGTTCATAAATTTCAGAACCTTGAAACATATGCAGGCTACGCCTGCACAGGCTCAGAAATCCACCAATCACCAATCAACCTTACACTAGAAAACTAACCAACCTTACTTCTTCCTTATGATCTTACCTTAAGATCTTTAAGACATGTTTCCTATGTAGTATCAGACCATGGAAGACACAGTACTAATTCATAAAGGGTGCAGTTGATGGCTCAGCACAAGATTTCACATAACCGGGAGATACAAAACCATAAGTTACCATGCAAACCCAAAATCTCATATTTTTAGCAATGGAGTTACTTCATTCGTTGACAAAAGGAGATTCTGCAAGTTCGAGAAGAAAGAACCAGAAGAACTAGTTTAACTCACAGACCAAACATGCCAACTTAAGGAGATGCAGCTTGATTGAGGTGGTCTTGATTCAAATCTCACAAAAGTAACCAGTGACCAATCATTCTGAACTGTAGGCATCATACTGGAAAGGAATGCCAGTCTGAAAAGTAGAAAAAATGGCGCATAAGTGGCAAAGTACCTGAGGCCTTAAATCCCGGTGAATAAGATGCTTCTCTTGAAGTGCTAGCAGCCCTGCAGCTGCACAATTGGTTCCCATCTCGGTTCAGCGATTGAAAGGAAAATTCTTGCCACGAATTCCAATCACCAATTTGTACATTCTTCTACTCAGAAAATCCTCGAGAAAATCTATAAAAGAAATCATCAGATACTCTCGGCCACTAAAACAAGGAAAGGATGAACAAAGTGAGGTAGGATACGTACCCAATTGCCTCATAAAATGCCTAGCAACATGTTCTGAGTCTTTTCCATGGCGATGAATACACCCAGCAAGATCCCCTCCGCCACAGTCCTCCAAAATCAGATCTATATCCTTTCGCCGGTATACAATTCCCAGACAGTTTCATCAACATACTCCTCGACGAAAAACCAGGAAAACAATAGCTTACACTGAACTTAATTTTAAGAAGATTCCAAGCAAACAGCAACAAAACCCCAGAATTCTGATCGTATTTTTCGTATAGCAACAAAAACCCAGAAGAAAAAACCGCGATTTTAGGAACCTCGATGGCCCCGTAGAATCGGATGATTTTGGGATGATCAATGGGGCTGAGAAGTTTCTTGTCAATCTCCTTGACGGCGACCTCAGAACCCCACGACCGGTGACTCGCCCGCCACACCACCGCGAACGAACCCGACCCGATTATCGGGCCGAGCACGTAGTCGCCCACAAGTCGTGCCTCGTCCATCCGGATTGAGCACTTTCGATTTCGAATTCCTACTTGTTTTGAGCTCCATTGTTTCTTCTTCCAGAAATAAAAAAAAAAAATCAAAATTTGTTTTCTTCTCGCCGGATTTTAAACAACTTTTTTTTCCTTGCTAACGAAAGGATTACGATGTAGTGAATATATATGTACATACATCGATATATATCGCAGAGCAAAGGAGGAACAACCTTTGTCTCTTTCTTTTCTGGTCTCTGAGACACATGGAGATTGGTTTAGCGCATCAGCAATGGTTTCTTTCTTGGTTGTGGAGGAGAAACCTTCGACTGATGTCGCGATTTCATCTTTCGTGAAATTGAATTCCACAAGGCAAATGCGTAGGGAATTTCAATCTCGTGGTATTTTTTTCGTCAATCTGCTAGCACTTATTTTAATAAGGGTAAAACCCTAAAAAACTACCGGCTTGCAAAAATATATACAAATAAATCTTCAACTTAAAAAACTATCATTCAATCCCCGAACTTGTAACAAGTCACTAAATAAAGTCTCGAATTTGTAAATTATTACTCTAATAAAGTTTGACTACAATTTCAGGTGATCAAAAATCCACGTATTAACAGATTGCTGGTGTCACCTTATACACGTTATCAATTTTAATTTAAAAAATGATATCATCAATCCGTCAATACGTGGATTTCCGATCATTTGAAATTGTGGTCAAACCGATCAAAGATTTATTAGAGCAATAATTTGCAAGTTCGAAGTTTTATTCAGTGATAAGTTACAGTTTCGGTAATTGAATGATAGTTTTTCAATGTGAAGATTTATTTGTATATATTTTTGTAAGTGAATGTTTTTTAGGGTTTTACCTTTTAATAATATAATTCCGATAATTTTGTTGGACGGAGAACAATGTTTAGTAGAATAAGAATTTATCTTCTAGTTATTTTAATAATATAATTTTTATATGTATTTTTACGGTAAACCTTTGACGAGTCCAATTACCTTTCGCCATATTTCAAACCTTAAGTTCAATTATTTTATAAGAAGGAAGATTAAACAAAAATCTAAAAAAATTTATCCTTTTGTTCAAAAAATTTATAGACTATTAAAATATCATTATAATACTTAAATTTATGGCGGCAAATTATTAGCCTAAATAAAATTTGAGAGATAAAAAATAAGTATTACTCATTGATCAAATAGTAAATATTTGTAAATTCGTAAATTAAAATGGAGTTTTTAATTAGCTTATAGTTTTTTTAGACAAGTGAATTGATTTTTGTAGATTTTTTTGGATTTTTAGTTAAATAAATTATGGACTAGTGATTAAGTTTGAAGACGTGAACCCAACAGATCATGGACGAGTGGTCAAGTTTGGGGTATGAAGTAACTCCACCTTGAGATTGAATGTTCGATTCATGGCTGATAGAGAGGAAGATAATTTTTGGGTTTATATAATCTATATATAAAGACGAACATCTGAAGGATAGCAGTTAGGGATCTTCCATTGTACAACAAAAAGTTTGAAGACGCGAAAGTCCTAGTTGATTACGAGAGATATATACATACACACATTGTATTGTATTTAAATTTCTAGCCGATGCTTTGATATCACTAACACCGAACAAATCAGGCCCGTGCCACGTAACTAGGCCCATGTTAAGGCCCGAATGTGATTGGGAACGGGGATAAACACACTCGGGAAGCAGAATAATAACCTCAAAGAGAGTGAGATTGTAACGGTTACCAAACGGCGGGGATTGGCATCGTAGCGGGAGAACTCGGAGAGCGCGAGACCCATTCCCCGAGACCTCATGTGAAGTGAGTGAACAGAGCGAGTGACCCTAAGATCCAACATTTGAGCTGTCACATCGGCTGACACGTGTAATTTTTAGGAGACCCAAAACGTTGTGCGTACATATATATCCGTACACGTGTGTATAGTGATTAGTACGCGTACATATATACGTATATAGAAAACCGAAGAGCGGATTGAGAGAAAAGAGGGGAGAACACAATGTCCGAAGCAGGCAAGTGTTGGCCTTTCAGCGGACCATAAGTCGCCGGTTCTCCAACTTCTATATCCCACATGTACTTCGATCTCGCCACGTGGCGCTTAACTAAGAATTTCGATATCTAACTATTTACATTTTATTTATTTTAAAACACAATGCTATGTTATTAGAGAATAGAATTCTAACATCGGCGGTCGTGTTTATATTTAATATCTCACAATTTTAGAATCTGTATGGTTACGTAATGCAATTAAATAAAGAGAGAAATGTACGTACACACACACGGGGATGCGATCACAATGAAACACGCGCTTGTTTATATTCATTTCACCATATCCCCCCAAATTAAATAAATATATAAAAAAGGGGGCTAAAGTTTCACAAATTTATTTCATAATATAAAATTAAAATTAAAAGAAAAACGTCTCCGTGAATGTACGTACGACGGTACGCATTAATACAAGTCGGGAAATATTCTATCGTCGGAGGTCAAACTCAACATCTCCTCAATGCTAATACACCTTTCACTTACAGATTCGCTACAATGTTCTTTTCTTCTTCTTCCTCCTCTCTCTTTCTCCTTCTCATTTTACAAACCCTAACGTCGGTCTCTCTCTCCCAGCCAACGGTTCTCTCGGCGGAAAAGTGCGGTAATTTCACCGTCTCCTTCCCCTTCCACCTCTCCGCCGGCGTCAGCTCCGCCGCCTTCCGCCTCTCCTGCACGAACTCTTCGCTGTTTCTCCACCTGGACCGCCGCAGCTACCGCGTCATCGAGCTCTTCTCCGATGGCCTCCTCGTGGACTTCCCTCTCTCCCCTGTGTGTCGCCAGTTCAACGACTTGAGCTCCTTCGCTTTCTCCGGCGATGAGTACTTTGGAATCTCCCTCGAAAACGTCGTCGGATTGTACGACTGCGAGGATTCGTCTCTGTGCAAGGCCGGTTGCGAGACCAATGACCTCCCCGGCTGCGACAGCGGCGGCGGCGATCTCGGCTGCTGCTACCCTTTGTCGGATCATAGCGCGTGGCGTGTCGGAGACGAGTTCTCGGTGTTCCGAAAGTACGGATGCAGGGGATTTTCTTCGTGGGCGGTTCCGCGAGGGACGAACAGTGGAAAACGAGGGGTTAAGTTAGAGTGGGCGATTCCCAGAAACTCGTCGGCGGCTCTGTGTGATCGTAATGCTCGAACTGTTAACGCCACCGCCGTCGAAGGAGGCGTTCGATGTGTTTGCCAAGATGGGTTCGTCGGCGATGGCTTCGTCTCCGGGACCGGATGCTTGAAATGTGAGTCTAAGGTTTCTCCATTGACTTGTCTGAAAGTGGAGGAGATGTTTCAGAACAGAGTATTATCACTATGAACCTGTCTTCTCTTGGAATCGCTCGAGTCTCAAGCGATTGACTTTGTGTTCTTGCTTCCATTATTGCCATCTTACATCTTTGATGTTACCCTTACAGCTTGTTATAAAGATGGGAAGGAAGCGTTTGGGGAGAAATGCGATGGAAAGAGACATCACGGGAAGAAGCTCACTGTCTTGGCCGGTAAAAATCTTGTCCAAATATAACAACTCCACCATTATATGTATTCATCAAGTGATTCTTTACACATTGTCCTGATCTGATGATATATATATATATATGTATGTATGTATGTGTTACAGGAGTTTTGGCTCCGGTATTCATCCTAGGCTCTCTGGTAGCAGTTTTTTGCCTCCTGAAACGTCCTACGGATGACAAGGAAGAGTTCGATGTAGAACAAGTCACGGGTTACAACTATCACAGTTCCGTTTCATTTCGCAAAGTTTGCAGAGCACGTCTATTCGCCTACCGAGAACTCGAGGATGCCACCAAAACGTTTCAAGATTCGCATAAACTAGCCGAAGGCAAAAATGGAACGATTTACACGGGGAATCTGGTGGATGGTTCAACTGTAGCAATCCACAAGATCCATTGCGAAAACCAGAGAGAGCTTGTGGAGATTTCTTCACAGATTGATCATCTTTCAACAGTTTTCCATAAGAATCTCGCGAGAATCATAGGTTTCTGTATGGATTGTGGGTATACTCCTCTTGTGGTTTACGAGAATCCGGGGAACGGTACACTGGAGGATCATCTCTATCCGCGTGAAAGCAAAACAGAACAAGGGCTTGATTGGTTCAAGAGAGTAAACATTGCGGCAGAAGTAGCCGGTTTACTCGCTTTTCTTCAGTACGAGACTTACCCTCCGATACTCCATGAAAACATCACCCTTTCCTACATCTTCTTGGACGATGACTTCCACGCCAAGGTATCAGGTTTCGGGTTACAAACCAAACTTGGTCCTAAAACTCTGCGTGAGAATCTTCGGACACAGAATAACAACATGTACAGTTTCGCTCTTCTGCTTCTGGAGATCATTACGGGATTGAACATGAAGCAGGAAACGGTAACGCAGGTCCTGCAGAAGATGAGAAGCGGGAAGCTAGAGGAGATTGTAGATCCATCGCTGTACTATCACGAGCAGCCACTGATGTTCAGGGAGCAGATAGGGTTAGTAGCTGATATAGCGACGAGGTGCATTCTGTTCGGGGGAGATGGGAAATTCGGGATGGTGGATGCCTCGAGAGAGTTGATGCAGATTGTCGGAGGCGGTGGAAAGAAAGGAGATGGAATCGAGGAGACGTTCTCGAACTCGAGCCTGCTTCAGATGATCTCCATGTCTCCTGATTCTGTCTATCTCCCGAAAACTTGATCAATGACATCGAATGATATGTATCTTTAATCGCTTTGAAGAAAACGTTTGTTTAAATTTTTCACCATTTGATCTCTAATCCAACTCAAAGATTACGAGTCGTTTTGATAATTACAACGACATTCATGTCAAAACCTCTCACTTTCCATGACTAGAATGATTCGTGAAGAAATTGAATCCCTTTGAACTATAAACTTGATTTTGAAAAATCAAATAAATATATATTGTAGCTTGATATGGTTCTAAAAATATGATTAATATGTAAGATTAGTGAAAATGTGATTATATTATAGTTTAGTGTCATAACAAAAATATGTTAAATAAATGAGTTAGATATGAAATTTTGTGTGAGTTTATAGTATAAATAGGTGGATTGTATGAAATTTGAAATAACAAAGCTTAGAGTGGAAGAAGTATAATGGGAAAAACACTCCGAGAAACCTAGAATAGAAGAAAATCAAATGTGTCACATCTCATAGTATTTGGAAGTATTGTCTATTCACGTATTCATAACGAGAAGAGATCAAAATTTGATGATAAAAATTAAAAGTACTTATTCATCAACTATGATTAAAATTCAAAATGATACAAACTACATATTCTATAATTAAATACCAGGAAAAACCATTGTGAATCGTGATGTGGAGTTCGATAATGATGGATAATGAGATTGAACCACTCGCAATGAAGACTATGCATTTCTTCCCTGCATAGAAGAACAAATGGGGAGTGAGATTGAAAAACCCCACGGCCCACAAAATCTTTTATCAACATCATCATCGAATGAAAGTTAAGTGAAAGAACGCCTCAATTTCAAAATATTAAAGATCTATATGAGACCTATATGAGATAATTGAAAAACAAGATGATCTTACTCTTTTTTATTTTTTTACGAATTGTGAACCTAAATTTTTTGAAAAAGTTGTACAAAATGGAAGACGAAAATGTCATGGACGAAAAAATTAGGATCATTGAGAAGAATTTCTCAAATGATACATGGGATTTGATTTCTTTTTCAAAAAGTTACAAAGGGTTTCGAAGGAGTACATAAAAGAAAGAGAGTCAAAAGAAAGATCGAAAGATACAAAATAAGATCGGTGGCAAAAGATTGCCAAGGAGAAGGGATTGACTACGACAAAGTATTTGTTTATATAGTTCGTCTTGAAACTATAAAATTGATCATCTTTTTAACCGCTCAAAACAGGTAGAAGATATATCAAATAGATGTAAAGCCACAATTTCTTAATATATCATATATATGAAAATGGGTTATTAGTTTGGTTGACGCGATTGCTTAGACAAGAAGGTTGCGTTCTTGGCCGTAGGAGACAGCCCTTGAAGCCGTCCAGTATTCCATACAACCACACCTACCACTTGCGAATCTTAAATCTTGAAATGATGATTAAATATGAAAACTACTGCATTGAAGAGGGACCTTAAAGGATTTGAACAGATACATCTAATGTTGGGCTGATGTTATCAATACATATGTGATATATATATGTATGTATGTATGTATATATGTTGTAAGATTGCTCAAGAAAAGCGAAAGGGACGTAACGGAAGAGGCAATAGCCATGGGTTGGAGACTTAGAGGGGCTTTCCTCATTACTAAAGACTTTTTATTTGCTTTTGGGCCTCATTTATTTAGGGGACCACACTTTCCTCCCCTTCTCTGTTGCTCGCAAAATCCTTCTTTCTTAATTCCTCCTCTTACACATACATGTATACTTCTTTGGTCCGATACCATTATCTATACATTTTAAAGAATGCAACGTTTATATTATATATATATATATATATGCAGTGAATGAATGTATATAGGGGCTGGAGAGGCAGCTGACTTTTGCAGCAATCATATAAGAGAGGGGCACAGTGCCTGTCGAATTATTCCACCAGAGATATACTTTTGTTTTGTGTATATAATTTAAACGATGATAATATATAATGTATTACTAAAGAACATTCAAGAATTTTTTCATGAATAAAGAATACTCGAGAGGTATCGTAATTTTTCGTACAGTGCCTGTGTGGCTGTATCCCCATTCTCATGCAGACGGACCCCACCTTACACAATCTGTGTATTATGTATGCATCTATATATATATATATATAAACACAAATGCGTTGTCACTGAACTTAATTAGTTAGGGCACGAAAGAAAAACAAAATCTGTTTGGAAAGATACTTATAAAAGAACCGACTGTAAATATATAAAACAAATAGCCAAATACAACAGTTTTCGAATACAAGATATTCAAGTTAAATCTGGTCTATACCTAATAAGCCGAAAAGAGAGGAAAGTTAAAATATTCAAGTTGTATTAATTTGACTCGGAAGAGAATTAACAATGAAGAATGAACGTCCTCCATGGATATATATATATATATATATCGGTAGAATATAATAGAGGGATTTTAATATCAGATTAGCATTGCAAGTTTATTCAACTATTCGTCACTCATGGGAAAACACGATAATGTATATAACTACACTATGTTCTCTCTCTATATATATAGGTATATATAGGGAGAGAGAGTATATATCAAAAACTTAATGTGTTATTGGGTTGTAAACTCGAAAGATGTGCATCATTCCCAATGAAAACGCATTACATATATATTAGCTATCGTCAGAATCTATTCAACCGTAGAATTGGATACCAAATAAATGGTTTCATGATCTATGCGTTTACTTTTCAAGACGCATGCTTGATAAAGCTTAGGAGAAATTAACACACATACACACACGTTATATATATATATATATATGTATGTATATATGTATAAGAAGAGTAGGGGGGTTGGCTAGAGAGAGAGAGTCATAGACTCTGAGGCAAATGACAGTTGGGGACATGTTGATGCCATGATCGCACCGATGCTCCATCCTTTTTCTAAAGAAAATTAAATTAAAGTGGACCGCCTACTATTTCGCCACTACCATTTAGATGGCGACTTATCTTCTCCCCCCGATCGTTATAATCAACTATTAATTATATTGTAAATATTTCCTGTATAAGTCTAAAATCACGTTGAATTTGAATATCTTTTTGTAAAAAATCAACCACTCAAAAAGGCATATAATATTGGATCGATAGAAATGAATTGTATATGGAGTCGAAATTTTATCTAAATTAAGAAATAATTAAACTTATTGATATTTTGAATTTTTCGAAACGAATACATTGTTTTTCTAATTCTAATGTGACAATTGCTTATGTTCCCGTCTCTTTCCTACATAAAAGAGTATTTCAAAATAAAAAATCTTGAAGTTATATTTTGAAAGACACATCATTAATAACAATAGATAGCGATTTTTTTTAAGATTAACTAAAAGACTTAGTAAATACTTTTATTCAAAATAAAACTAGAAATACAATGTTATTTAAGTGTGTAATTGATTTATTTATATTATTTTGATATATTTATATTATGATCATTTGTATTTATATTTTAATATTATTTACAATAAAATTATATTTGAATATCAATATTTTATACTTTATTATAAAATAATAAAATTTTCCGTGCTTACACAGAACCTCCAAAATGTATGAAGTCTCGGATTGTATATATTACATATGTAGTCCTGATACATAATACTCAATTTAACAAAACATGGTTTGTGCCGTTTTTTTTTAACATATATATAATATATATATATATATATATATATATATATATGTATATATATATAATATAAGCCCTAATATCTGTGTTCTACGGCTGCTTCACGCTAGGTATTTCCCATGCACACCTCCATGATACTAATGTCACTTCAAATGTTCAAGCCTGAGGTTAATTCTTTACATACAAAAGTAATTTCAATTAATGATTATAAAAACGAGAAAAATCGGTCGACATAACCAGCAGTTAGCATGAACAAATTGGATTTAGGGTTTATGTTACGGTGCCATCTAACTTCAATAGGGAATTATACTTG